AAAGGAAATGGATGGAGACAGATACACTATACTAACATTAATCAAAAGAATGCAAGAGTAGTCATATTAGTTTCAGCCAGAACAAACTTAGTGCAAGGAAAGTTATCAGGGATAAAGAGGGGCATTACATATGATAAAGGGGTCAGTTCTCCAAGAAGACATACAATCCTTAATGTGTACATGCCTAACAAGAGTTTCAAAATATTTGAGGAAAAAATGATGGAACTGTAAGAAGAAATAGATGAATTCACTATCATAGTTGTACTCTTTAACACCCCTTGTATTAGGGTTCTCTAGAGGGACAGAACTAATAGGATAGATATGTATATATAAAGGGGAGTTTATTAAGGAGTATTAAACTCACAGGATCACAAGGTCCCACAATAGGCCATCTGCAAGCTGAGGAGCAAGGAAGCCAGTCCAAGTCCCAAAGTCTGATGTTTGAGGGTAGGAAGCATCCAGCATGGGAGAAAAATGTAGGCTGGGAGGCTAAGCCAGTCTAATCTTTTCACATTCTCCCGCTTGCTTTTATCCTAGCCACAGTGGCAGCTGATTAGATTGTACCCACCCAGATTAAGGGTGGGTCTGCCTCTCCCAGCTCACTGACTCTAATGTTAATCTCCTTTGGCAACACCCTCACAGACACAACCAGGATCAATACTTTGCATCCTTCAGTCCAGTCAAGACACTCAGTATTAGCCATCATACCCTTGTATCAGAAATGGACAAACACACAGGCAGAAAATCAGTAAGGACATAATCAAATTGAACGGCACCATCAATCAACTTAATACAATTAGCATCTATTGACTACTCTATCCAAACGATAGCAGAGTGCACATTCTTCCCAAGCTTACATGGAACATTCACCATGATAGACCACATTCTGGGCCATGAAACACACCCTGACAAATTTAGAAGAATAGAAAATGTACAATGTCTGCTCTCAGACCACAGTGGAATTAAACTAGAAATCAATAACAGAAAGATACCTGGAAAATCCCAAAATACTTGGAGATTAAACAACACATATCCCACATATGTGTGGGATAAAAAGAAATCTCAAGAGAAACTTTAAAATGTTTTGAATTAAGATTTTTTTTTGAAAATGAAAACAATGTAAAATTTGTGGGATGCAGCAAAAGTAGTGCTTAGAGGGATATTTGTAGCATTAAATTTGTATATTAGAAAAGAGATCTAAAATGAATAATCTAAGTTTCTGCCTCAGGAAGCTAGAAAAAGAAGAGCAAATTAATTCCAAAGTAAGAAAAAAGTAATAAAAATTACAGTAGAAATCAATGAAATTAAAAACAGGAAGTCAACGAAGAAAACAAAACTGAGAGTTGATTCTTTGAATAGATCAATGAAATTGATAAACCTCTAGCCAGGCTGAGGAAAACAGACAGGACACAAATTACTATTATGAGAAATGAAACAGGAGACATCATTACAGATCCAATGGACATTAATAGGACAATAAAAGAATATTATGAAAAACTCTAGGCTCACAAATTCAATAACCTAGATGAAATAGGTCAATCTCTCATGAAAGATACAATCTGCCAAAACTCACATAAGAAAATCTAAGCCATTTGAACAGATCCATTTCTATTAAAGAAATTGAATCAATAATTAATAACCATCCCATGTGGGTTCACTAGTGAATTCTACCAAACATATAACAAATTCTTGACAATCTCTTCCAAAAGATAGAAGCAGAGTAACTATTTTTAAGTCAATCTATGAAGCCAACATTACCCTAATTCCAAAATTAGACAAAGATATTAAAAGAAAACTATAGATCAATGAGAACACATGAACACAGGGAGGGGAACATCACACATTGGGGCCTGTCAGGGGCTGGGGGAGGAATAGCATTAGGAGAAAAACCTAATGTAGATGACGGGTTGATGGGTGCAGCAAACCACCATGGCACGTGTATACCTAGTAACAAACCTGCACATTCTGCACATGTACCCCAGAACTTAAAGTATAATTTTAAAAAATTATCAAGATTTAAAAAAAAAAAGAAAACTGCAGATCAATACATCTCATGAACATAGAGGCAAAAATCCTTAACAAAACATTATCAAGTTGAATCCATCAATGCATAAAAAGACTTATACACTACAGCCAATTGGGATTTATCCCAGGTATGCAAGGCCAGTCCAGCATTTGAAAATCAATCAATGCATCACACCAACAGGCTAAAGAAGAAAAACTGCATGATCATATCAATAGATGCAGAAAGAGCATTTGGAAGAATCCAACACTCATTTATGATAAAAACTCTCAGCAAACTAGGAATACAGGGGGATTTCCTCAGCCTGATAAGTCACATCTGCAAAAAAACCTGCAGCTAACACCATTGTTCTTTTTTTTTTTTTTGAGACAGAGTTTCACTTTTGTCACTCAGGCTGGAGTGCAATGGTGTGATCTCAGCTCACTGCAACTTCTGCCTTCTGGGTTCAAGTGATTCTCCTGCCTCAGCTTTCTGAGTAGCTGGGATTACAGGCACCCCCAACCATGCCTGGCTAATTTTTGTATTTTTAGTAGAGACGGGGTTTCGCCATGTTGGCCAGGCTGGTCTCAAACTCCTGACTTCAGGTGATCCACCCACCTCGGCCTCCCAAAGTGCTGGGATTACAGGTGTGATCCACTGTGCCCAGTCAACACCATTATTCTTAATGGTGAAAAACTAGAAGCTTTTCTATTAAGACTGGGAAAAAGGCAGTTTCCTCTCTCACCACTCCTTTTCAGCATCATAATGGAAGACCTAGCTAATGGAATAAGAGAAGAAAACAAAATAAAAACTATAGTAAAATATTTGTGAAGGAAGAAATATAACTTTTTATTTGCAGATGAGATTGATTAGAAAATTTGAAAGAATCTACAAAAAATCTGGAATTAATAAGTGATTATAGAAAAGATTCAGGATACTAGTTTAATATGCAGAAGTCAATACTTTCCTATATACCAACAATGAATAAGTAAAATTTAAAATTTAAAACAATACCATTGACATTAGCACTCCAAGAAATGAAATAATTAGGTATAAATCTAGCAATATATTTGTGATGCAAGAAATCATAAATCTAGCAATATATCTGATGCAAGAAATCAAAGAACTAGCCAGGTATTGTGGTGTGTTCCTGTAGTCCTAGCTACTTGGGAGACTGAGGTAGGAGAATTGCTTGAGATCAGGAGCTTGAGACCAGCCTGGGCAACACAGTGAGCCCCATCTCAAAAAGAAAAAAACAGAAATCAAAGAACTAAAGTAAACTGAGATATCTTTATTTAATATCTATTCCATGTTCATAGATAAGAAGACTCAGTAGTCAAGATGTCAGTTCTTCCAACTTTATTTATCGATTCAACTCAATTCCAATAATCATCTCAGCAAGTTATTTTTTGGATATTAGCAAATTGATTCTGAAGTTTACATGGAGAGGCCAGAATAACCAACAACATTGAAGAACAAAGTTGGAGGACTGACACTATCCAACTTCAAGACTTACTAAAAAAAACCACAGAATCAAGACAGTATAGATGAGAAATCATCTTACCCTAGTCACAGTGGCTATTATGAAAAAGACAAAACAACAAAAAACAGATGTTGGTGAGGGTGCAGAGAAAAGGGAACTCTCATACACTGTTGGTGGGAATGTAAATTAGTACAACCTCTATGGAAAACAATATGGAGATTTCTCAAAGAACTAAAAATAGAACGACCATTTGATCCAGGAATCCCACTATTAGGCATCTACCCAAAAGAAAAGAAAGGTATGCCTCAAAAAGATTCCTGCACTTGTATGTTTATCGCAGCACTATTCACAATAGCAAAGATAACAGAATAAATCTAAGTATTCATCAGTGGATGATTGGATAAAGAAAATGTGGTATAAATACACAATAGAATACTATTCAGTCATAAAAGAATGAAATTATGTCTTTCGCAGCAAAATGGATGGAACTGAAAGTCGTTATCTTAAGTGAAACAAGCCAGACACAGAGAGTCAAGTATCAAGGTTCTCACTCATAAATGGGTGCTAAAAAATGTGTGCACATGGGCTTAGTGCAGTGATAAATAATGGAGACTCATAAGAGTGTGATGGGGGGGTGGATGATGAGAAATTAATGAGTACAATGTACGTTATTTGGGTGATGGATACCCTAAAAGCTGTGACTACTATGCAATTTATACATGTTACAGAATTGTACATGTGTTGTGTTTGGAAAGACACAGCATTAAAATTAAATTTTCAAGCCATAACAACTATATGTTTAAAATACTTATAAAATCACAACTTACTCCCTCCCAACCCCCCAAACAGGAACTTCAGTAAACATTACTCACTATCAGAGTTTTATTTAGCTAAAAATATAGTCTTGCAATATACCTGGGAGTTTAATACGGTAGTTATTTGTAACATTAGCATAATAGGCCTATTCAGACAGAAGCTTTCTTTTTTGCTACAAAAAATTCCATGAATTTTTAAGGAGAATAAAAACCAAAACATCATCTGATGCCATTAAATCACATTTTAGGGCCGGGTGCGGTGGCTCACACCTGTGATCCCAGCCCTTTGGGAGGCCAAGGTGGGCGGATCATGAGGTCAAGAGATTGAGACTGTCCTGGCCAACATGGTGAAATCCTCTCTCTACTAAAAATACAAAAATTAGCTGGGCATGGTGGCATGCACCTGTAGTTCCAGCTACTCGGGAGGCTGAGACAGGAGAATCACTTGAACCCAGGAGGCAGCGGTTGCAGTGAGCCAGATTGCACCACTGCACTCCAGCCTGGCAACAGATTGAGACTCCATCTCAAACAAACAAACAAACAAACAAAAAACGTCTTAGACTTTTAAAGAGTCCTTATGAGACCTGGCTTGAGAATAAGCATGGACTTTAAGCATGAAAATGTCAGTTGAGCCAAAGCTGATATTAGACATTTGTAAAGGTTAGCAGCTTGCCTTAAATAATTGTTTCCATTTTTCCAGATGCTGTTGAGACATATTTCATAAAAAGTATCAATGCATATCGAGCAACACTGGGCTCAGAGGATTTTGAAACACTGAGCACCACTGAAGAATTTTGCAAATGGCTTGTCCAAAATGGAGAAAAACAGGTAAATATGATCAATGCATAAACAGAATTGCTAGTTTGTTTATTAGATCACAATAGCATTTTTCATCTTACAGTTTAGATACTGGAGATCAGATAGGTCCCAGATAAAACTAGGCAAGAAACACATTGTTTCATTATTTGTTAGCATTAACCAATTTTTTTTTTTTTTTTTTTTTCCAAATTGGTTTCATTCTTTTGATGAAACTGAGCAACTCTGTCCAACAAGGTTTAGTTTGTACTTGGAAACCGCAAAGTAGGGTCAAAGTATTTTAGAGGGACTCGATATTGATGGCAAAAGAAAATTCGCAGCTACACGTTTGCTTCTAACGGTTCCCTCTCTGACAAACTTTTTTTTTGAGATAGGGTCTCTCTCTGTCACCCAGGCTGTAGTGCACTGGGGCGATCTCGGCCCACTGCAACCTCCGCTTCTTGAGTTCAAGAGATTTGCCTGCCTCAGCCTTCCAAGTAGCTGGGATTACAGGCGTGCGCCACCACGTCCAGCTAATTTTTGTGTTTTTAGTGGAGATGGGGTTTTGCCATGTTGACCAGTCTGGTCTTGAACTCCTGACCTCAGGTGATCCACTCGCCTCGGCCTCCCGCAGTGCTGGGATTACAGGAGTGAGCCACCATGTCCTGCCAGCATTGCCTTTCTTGTTTGAAATTTTACAGCTATACTTTGTTGTGTAATGTTATGGTTCCCTTTCTGTAAAATGTTATTTTTGGTGATCTAAATAAAGCCTGTTTTGTTTGGAGAAAAAAAAATAAAATAAAACTAGGAATAATACACAGGGCTTAGGTGGCTTGGAATATTAGTAAAAAAATATTTTTCTTGTATCTTGATACATGAGATCCTTCAGATCCAGGACACATGTATTCTCTGGCTTTGTATTTAATATTTTAAGTCAAAATTGGCTTCCATCTTTGGATCTAGCTACTAGTTCTTTTCTTTTGCGGTAGTGGTTTTCTCTTGATCTGATAGGTTTTTATTAGCAGCAATTTTGTTTTCACATTTTAAAAAGTTATAGAAAATAATTGTTATTGCTGACTTTTTTACTTAGAAGTCCCATGAGTCTAAGTTATCATTCAAAACCTTTTGACTTGAACTTTATATATTCAGTGCAGCATGAACACAGCGAAGACCTTTGTCTGTCATAAGATCCCACATGAATTTGATCTGACCAAGCCAACTTTATACTTCCTCAGGCGAGTGAGAAATATGGATAGATTTGACATGGTCTTATTGGCCATGTAAAAACCAGTATAAGAATAGAGTTATAGGCACATAGTAAGTAAAAATTTATTCCAGGAATGAAAAAAAGTTTTTTATATCTTATCTAGACATTTTTATAAATGGTGTCATTTTCGTTATTTCAATTTTAATTGCCATTTGTAAAGACAAAAACCTTATAATGATTTGCAACCTTTTTTTCTGTGGCCATGATATTTTCTGTTGGTTTAGAAGATTTTTTTTTTTTTTTTTTGAGACAGAGTCACTCTGTTGCCCAGGCTGGAGTGCAGTGGCACGATCCAGCTCACTGCAACCTCTGCCTCCCAAGTTCAAGTGATTTTTGTGCCTCAACCTCCCGGAATAGCTGGGATTACAGGCGCCCACCATCACACCCAGCTAATTTTTGTATTTTTTGTAGAAACGAGGTTTAATCCTGTTGGTCAGGCTGGTCTCGAACTCCTACCTCAAGTGACCCGCCTGCCTTGGCCTTCCAAAATGCTAAGATTACAGGCGTGAGCCACCACACCTGGCCAGTTCAGAAGATTAATGTGAGATCCCAATGCCATGGGTTGATCTAATAATTAATTTTATTTTCAAAGATGTGAAAATACTTTGCCAGAATTTAATAGCTTATCCCTGTTATAGTCTGGTGCAGTGAATACCATGACCTTGGTTGTGATAAACCACCAGTACCACCACCAGTACCAATGCCTGATAATCCTCTGCTTCTAACCAAGTACTTTCTAGTATACCAAGCTCCTGGACAAGCTACCAAAGGACCTGAGTGCCAGGTGGCTCCAAATCTAAACCATAAGCAGGACTATGGACAGGTCAGCTTTACCATTAGGAAGCAAGTGCCATGAGGGCAGGAAGTTTTGTTTGTTTTGTTCACTGCAGTGTCCTCAATGCCTGAAACACTAACTGGCACATAGAAGATGCCTGGTAACTTTTGAATGAAACTGCTGAATTTTATGACACATTTCCCATATTTAAAAGTAGCTCATTCCCCTGCCTCCAAGCTTCATGTGAGGCTCTAGGCCTGTCCTAGAGGACCATAACAGAAAATCACAAGATTTGGGAATCGTTCCCATGGAATACACAGACACATACACATGCACACACATATATATTTTGGTAAGTAGTTTAATCTGCCATGGATAAAAAATAAAACTCATTCATCTAGAACTACCTTCTTCCAGTAATTCATCAAAATGACAATCATGGCTGGGCATGGAGACTCACACCTGTAATCCCAGCACTTTGGGAGGCCGAGGCAGGAGGATTGCTTGAGCCTAGGGGTTTGAGACCAGCCTGGGCAACAAAGTGAGACCCTCATCTCTAAAAAAATTAAAGAATTAGCCAGGAGCAGTGGTGCATACCTGTGGTCCCAGCTACATGGGAGGCTGAGGCAGGAAGATCACTTGAGCCTGGAAGGTTGAGGCTGCAGTGAGCTGTGATCACGCCACTGCACTCCAACTTGGGTGACAGGGACCCTGTCTCAAAAAACAAACAAACAAAGAAAACAAAAAACAAAACAGAGAATGAGTTTGTCATCAATGCCATAAAAAGACACTATAAGAACACTACAGGTCCATATCCCTGAGGCATATAGATGTAAAAATTCTCAACAAAACACTAGCAAACCAAATTTAACAGCATATTAAAAGAGTCATATGCCATCACCAAGTGGGATTTATCCCTGGGATGTAAGAATGGTTTGGCATACGAAAATCAATCAATGAGATATACTGTCTTAACAGAATGAAGGATAAAAATCAGATGATACCCTGAGATCCAGAAAAAGCACTGGACAAAATTCAATACCTTTTCATGATAACAACAAAAAAACAAAACTGCCAACAAAGAAAGAATAGAAGGAAATTACCTCAAGATAATAAAGGCCATACATGTATGCAAAGCCTACAGCTAATACCATACTTAATGGTGAAAAACTGAAAGCTGTTCCTTTAAGATCAGGAACAAAAGAAGGATGCCCACTTTCACCACTTCTATTCAGCATAGTACTGGAGGTAGTAGCCAGAGCAGTTAGGCAGGAAAGCTAAATAAAAAACATCCAAATATGAACAGAAGTAAAATTATTTCTGTTCGCAGAATGACATGATGTTATGTAGAAAACCCTAATGATCACACACACACACACACACAACCTGTTTGAACTAATAAATTCAACTAAATTATAGGAAACAAAGTCAGCATACAAAAATCAGTTTCACGGCCAGGCACGGTGGCTCAAGCCTGTTATCCCAGCACTTTGGGAGGCTGAGATGGGTGGATCACGAGGTCAGGAGATCGAGACCATCCTAGCTAACACGGTGAAACCCCGTCTCTACTAAAAAATACAAAAAAAAAACTAGCTGGGCAAGGTGGCAGGTGCCTGTAGTCCCAGCTACTTGGGAGGCTGAGGCAGGAGAATGGCATAAACCCAGGAGGCGGATCTTGCAGTGAGCTGAGATCCAGCCACTGCACTCCATCCTGGGCAACAGAGCGAGACTCCATCTCAAAAAAAAAAAAAAAAAAGTTGCATTTTTATATACTAACATTGAACAATTTGAAAAAGAAAATAAGAAAACCAATCCCATTTACAATAGCATCAAAAAGAATAAAATACTCAGGAATAAACTTAACCAAGGAGGTGAAAGACTTATACACTGAAAAAAATGAACAGGAAAATAATAAATTATATGCATGCTTTCTTACTCTAAGAAATGCAAAAATATTACAGTAGTAGCCTTGAGATTCCTGATTTATTGGCAGTGTTTTCTGGAAAGCAGCAATTGACATCCCTTTTATGTTTGTTGTTCTGACATGCCACATTAGGGATGATGATTACATGTTCAACCCAATTCTGAAGAAACATTCTGTTGCACCTGTCAACGTAGATAATTCAGGCAGTGAGTGGGTGATGTGCAGTTCTTGAGGGAGCCAGCAATAATACCTCTTCACCTTCCCTAAAGAAAGCACATTGGGAAGGCAAATGAGTACAAGCACTGTTGTCCTGTGAATGATTTCCAGTGTATACTTAATTTATTTTTGCTGTATAGTAAGTAGTTAACAGTGAGAGCTTTGCTGAAAGACAACTGGCCTAGACATTTCAAAAATGTCAATGTTATGAAAGACCAAAAGGGCAGGAGAACTGTAACAGATTAAAGAATCATGAGAACTCAATGCAATACATGATGATTAGATGCTAGATTTTAAGGAAGTGTAAAGAACATTATTGGAAAAATTGGGAAATTTGAACATGGAGCATATATCAGGAAACGCTGTTGTACTGATGTAAGATTTATTGAATGATAATATTATTGTAGATATGTAGGAAAGTGTTTTTGTTCTAAGAAGACACACGCTTAAGTATTTAGAGCCACATGTGATGGCTCATGCCTGTCTGTAATTCCAGTAATTTGTGAGGCCAGGGTTGGAGGATCACTTGAGCCCAAGAGTTCATGACCAACCTGGGAAACATAATGGGACCCTATCTCTACAATAAATAAGTAAATAAATAAGCTGAGCAGAGTGGTGTGGAACTATAGTCCCAGCTACTTGAGAGGCTGAGGTGGAGGATCGTTTGAGCTTGGGAGGTTGAGGCTGCATGAGCCGTGATCACACCCCTGCACTCCAGCCTGAGCAACAGAGTGAGGCTCTGTCTCTTTAAAAAAAAAAAAAAAAAAAAAAAAAAAAAACCAAACCAAAACAAAAAGCATTTAGGGGTAAATTATCTTGATTACGACAACCTATTTTCAACAAAAATATATGTGTATATGCATGTATATATAGATAGAGACAGTATTTTTTAAGAAGAGGAAACAATAAGGCAAATGTGGCAAAACTGTGTGAATCTAGGTGAAAATTGTATGGATATTTTACTATTCTGTTAGCTTTTCTGAAGGTTTGAAAAATTTGATATAAAAAATAGGTGAACAAAAAAAGAGTGAGGGCTGTGGAATTCAGACTGCCTGGTGTTGGAATTCTGCCACTGCCAATCATAGGCTGTGTGATCTGGGGCAAGATCCTTAGCTGTTATTAGTTTCCATTCCTTCATCTGTAAAATGAGTATAATAGTTCCTCTCTTGTAGGGCAGCCATGAAGATTAAATAGTATCATATGAATTAACTATTATTAATTACAAGCTTGGAACTTTAATTCTTAATACAAAGTACTTAGGTGGCACATCACAGCGGACTGATCCTGCTGGGTTATGTCATCATTGGGTACAATGCCTTCTCCATAGAGCTCAGGGAACAGAACCAGCATGCTCCTTCGGAATTGCCAGGCTGGTTTTTTTTTTTTTTTTTTTAGAACGTTTTATCCCTCAGGAGGCTTACAGACTGCTAAAGGCTTCGTTAAACTCCCAGGTATTCAGCTACAGTGACTATAGCAAAAATGTGGCTGAAACTTTGTATAGCATGGGCAGGATCTGCTTTGCCAAAGGAGAGCCCAGAAAGGCAATTCAGCTCCTGACAAAGGTGACTATTGACTGGTTTTGTTACATTTTCCCCCAGGCTTGTAAGCAGGATGTGAGGAGGGATGTATGTACATATGCATGCATGTATATATGTATTTTCCCTTCTCTTCCATTTTATTCCTGCTCTCCTTTTCTTTTTTTAAGTGATGTGTTATCTTTTGAAAATTGTCTGCTTTCTTAGATGTGCTGAGGGAGAATATGACACAGAAACTTTTGTTGAGTCCGTGTCTGGACAAGAGTCTTAAAAGAGTAACACCCTAATCTTGGAATCCAAGTATGATAGTGGCAGAATCTCTGGAAAGCACTTCAAGGTTGGGTGGAATTAGTAATACCTTGTTTAACCATCCGTACCCAAGTACTCTTTCCCCTTCCAGAGAGCTCGTTCCCTTGCAGTGGGGTGTAGCAAAAGGTGTTCAACCAGTCAGTATACTGACAGAATGAATCTGAAGGCTTAGTAAAATAGGTGGCAATGTCTCTAAATAAAACCTAAGTTTTTTCAAAGTCAGAGGAAAAGTTGGTAAAGATCAAGGAACACTCAAGTGAGCAGAGGGTGGAGTCAGAAGCAGTCTACATCAGGTTTGCCGGGATTTTCATCTCATTTCAGGGTAACCTAATGTGATCAGAAAACAGTAAATAACAGAAGAAAGGGGAACTCATTTTGAAGATTCAGGGAAAAGAAAGCCTCCTGAAAGTAAGTTATAGGAGCCAGAATAGCTTTTCCAGGGAAGCATGAACACACGGTGGCATCTGGGTAATAGGGGTAGAAGCCTGAAAGGAGAGAAAACTTTGAAATGAAAGGATGACAATCTGAGGATAAGAAATGAGATGAAATGAAAAATGATGAGTGAAATGAGAAGGGGTTCCAGGGAAACAAGTCTAATAAAATTCAGATCCACATTGAAAATAACGAAGACGCTTAACATGGAGTGATACTGGAGTATTGTTTCTCAAATCTAGAATTGCAGCACAGTCAGTAAGAAACAAAACAAAACAAGCAAAAACAAATTCCTGAGTCTCACCCCAGACCATCTGAATTAGAAGTTTTACGAGTAGTGTACAGAATCTTTTTTTTTAATAGTTCTAGAGGCAGTTTTAATATCCTGCCAATTTTAAGAATCAAGATTGATATAACAAACTTGAAAAGCTCTCTTAGAATGCAGAGTGAAAGAAGAGAGGGATCTCATGAGAAAGTAATTGGTATGCAGGACAAAGTAGAGATTCAGCCAAAGAATTGTATGTATTTCTGAAGAAATTATGATTGGAATAGAAGCAGTAATCAGAGATATCATTGAAGACAAATGTTCTGAAATAAAAAAAGACCATAGCATATACATTGTAAGGATTTACCATGTTCCACACAAAATCAGTGTAAGGAGAGCCTCATATAGATTTTTACCTGGTAATGAATTTTTGATGGCATATGCAATAGATGGAATGCTTGTGTCCCTTCAAAATTCATACGTTGAAACCTAATATTCGCTGCAGTTTTATCTGGAGATAGGACCTTTAGAAGGGGACTAGAACTCAGGAGTGGAGTCTTCATGAATGGGATTAGTGCCCTTTGAAAAGAGACCTCAAAGAGCTTCCTTGCCCTTTCCACCATGTGAGTTTACAGCAAAGATGGCTGTCAGTGAATCAGGAAGTGGGCCCTCACCAGACACGAAATGGACTAAGACAGCATGACTACATCCTCCATTTGTAATAGGGATTTAACTTGGAAATTTAGGATGCCATAAGCCTAGGTAGAGGCTACATCTTTGTTATCAGCTTAGGAAACAAATGAAATGTAGTGCAGGTATTTGAAATGTAAACTTGTGACAAGATCTCAGTTCCGCTGGTCCTTTCCTGAGTTTGGTTTGCAATTAAGGTGCTTGCTATCTGATTCTCTTTAACCTGTTGTTTCTCACCTCACCTAGTGTCTGATGATTCAAATCCTTGTATATGGAGGTGAACACAGTAAAAGCAGGGAGACAAAGAGCCTCCTTACTCTGTTGCGGAGGTGAGTTCTGGCCCTGGCCATCAGCCATGTCATCAATGTATATATATGCATGGCATGGCCTCTCCCAATTCAACCAGGTAGGGGTGATTCACCTCTTTCATTCTTGCTAGTAAGGCAAAATCCTACCTGTGTATGAATGTGGCCAAATCCTATACTTGGGAAAATTAGTTGATTTCTTACAGTCTCATAGAACCCAGTGTTTTAGGGTCTGCTGCAATAATATTTAGTATTTATAATACCCCTTTCAATGCTGAGCATTATAGAAAAGCCCTGCAAGACAAGGTTGTAGCTGATCACAGTATGATAGGTATCATATGGATTCAGAGAAAGTAAATGAGTACCTTAAAATAATTTTTCTTGCTGAACATACAAAGTCTAGGTCCCTAAACATAAGGCAAGTTTTTAGGATACAGTCTCCAAAGTTAATAATGACAGAGCCTCTTCAGATTCTTTTTATAGATGTTTAGAATTTAAGTCAAAGAGAGTTTTGTATAGACTTGCCTCAGTCTTTAACCTTGACGTTATCAATGACACATATCATTGACATTTGTTCATCTCAGAATAGTACTGACCTTGAACTGTTCTAAGAGGGAAGAGAACAAAAACTTGTTGAGTTTATACCAAATTCATAAAACTGAGCTAGGTCCTATTTATAAAGTATTTAATTTAATCCTCACAAATACCCAGTATGATAGCTCTCATTTAACAGAAGGGAGCTTGATGTTTTATAATGGAATTTGCCTAAATTCACTCAGTCTTGGAGATTTGGACTCAAATAAGTGTGACTCTAAGGCCATGTGCTTTTCCCTGAGAGCCCTCTAACAGCGCTGCATTGCTGCTGAGAGTTAGGACCCCGAATGTGTTCACCAGTGGTGGCTGATAATCGGTCCCCTTCTCACCAGGTTCACCAGGCTAGACAGGTGGGGAAGGTCATGCCATGGAGAATACATTGAGCCCTCCTCTCCACACCCACTTCACTCAGAGCCACACCTGAGGTGGGCCCCACAGGAGGCTATCTCCTGTTTTATCATTACCCAGAGGAGGACGTTCTCCAGCCTCTGTCAATAATTCCTGTTAGGAGGATATAGAGGATCAGCCACAGGGCAAAATGGAAAACTTTGCTCCCTGCCTGTTGGTGCTTTAAATAAAATCATGTCTATAACATGCATAGTACAGTGCCTGGCAGAGCATGCACTCAATAAATGTTCGTAAAACACCCTTCCTTCCCCTTCTTCACAGAAGACTGCCTTTTGCTTTCAGGGCAACAGTTCAGAATATTTGAAATCAGGGATAATTGTTAGCCACTAATACCATAGGTTAGTTTTGAGATTTTGAATCTTTGAATATATCTAAAGTAGATTTTGTGCTTTGAAGGTAATAATAATGAAACTAAAAGAACAAAATGTATAATTTCAGAGAAAAAATGCATGATGTTTCCCCAAAACTGAACAGAAGTTCTACTCAGCTTGTATTTAAAAAGAGACACTTCAGAATATCTGGAATCTCATTCTTTGGTAGCCTGAGATTGCTTTGCCTTCCAGTATTTACTGTGTCTTTTAGGTGATCTGAAATGATTCATAGAAGGAGGAAAAATTAGGAGATCTAATTCAGACCCTAGGTGGTATGAGTTTCTTTAGGTACTTGGAAGTTAATTTTTCTTTCTGTAAATTACAATGAAACCAAACCTACCAAGAAAGTCCATATAAGGGGAAAAGAAGAGTCTTTTGAAGGACTTTGCTGTAGCAGAAGGTTTTTCTTTCCCTAAAACAAGCCCATATCTCATTCCTCAAGAACTGCTGAGCAAAGCCATGGGGGAAACTGCCAAAGCCAGATGTCAAAACCCAGTACAAGGATTGCTCTCTTTGCAGACTTCAGCATCTCACTGGAGTAATCAATCCCAGATGTCCTGGAACTCTGCTAGTTTTCCGATATACTCTCCTGCTTCTTACCTCACCTCTTCCGGAAACTCGTTGACTACACTCACTGGACTTTCATTGCTAGGAGCCCGAATTCTTGTCTTCTGAAGCCTGTGCAAAAAAGCTAAAGTAGAAATGGCCCCTTGAAATCAGAGTTAATTTCAAGGTTAAATGATAGTTGCAAGGGTCTCAAATAAAACTTTGGTGTACAGAAAGGGCATAGAAAATATTGGATTTGGAAATAAACTTTCTGGTTGTTTAGTCTAACTTTTACCTAAATCACAAATGTACTTCAGTTGTAATCATGTACATATCTAGCTCATTTAAGCACTAGAAATACTAATATGTTTAAGATAGAGTCCCTTATATGAAAGTTAGTCTGTATTAAGTCTTTAATAGAAATGTAAAGGAAAAGGGCAAGTAATACATCATGAGGCTAGAAATGTGAGTGGAAACTCTGCATAGGCTGGGGGCTGGGTTGCAGGGTCTTCGAAGAAAAGTAGACATAAGCAGGTAGACAAGAAGCCAGAGGAGAGTATTCCAAGTTGCATGAACAGAAGCATAGTGGCGTAGATACCCAATATCACGGAGGAAAAGCAAGTGACCTTGAGTGGTTGTAGTTTAAGGTACTTGAGGAGGGACGTGCTGGACATGAGTTTGGAAAGACAGACTGGGGCAAGATTATGGAATTTTTATGTGCTGTGCTAAGGCCTTTAGAATTTATTTAGTAGACAGAAAGCAACCATCAAAGAGTTTTGGGCAGGATATGACATGACCAATTATTGGCTTTAAAACATTACCTCTGGCAACAATGAGAAGGATAGATGGTACCTAGGGAGAAGTGGGGAGAGCAGTTAGGAGGTAGATCTGATAGTCCAAGGGAGAGATGTTTAGACCCTTAATTATCTAAAGCCGTAGTAGGAAGAATGTGTAGAGGATAGATCGAGAAGCTATATGGAGTCTGTATTGAGAGACCATAGGACCAGTCAGATGTGAGGTTTAATAGAGGCAGGAATCAAAGGTAGTGTTGAAGTTTCTAGCTTGGGCAACTGGGTTAATGGCAATGTTATTAAATAGTATTGGCAAGAGGAATAATCTTGGAGGATGTCTAGGGTGCCTGAGGGAAGATGGTTTCCACTTTGGATATGTTTGCAGTACCCACAATACATCCACTTGGCAACAGCTGTTAAGTTGTTGGCTGTATGGGCCAAGAGCTCAAAGAAATGATTCTGAAGCTAATGGAATGGGTAAGATAACCCACGGAATACATACATGTGAAACAAGAAGGCCTAGGAAAGAACTTTGGAGAATGCTTCCACTTATTTCAGAGAGAATATGGTGGTTTGGTAGCAGAACAGCTGGGGCTCAAATTTGAGCTTTCCCACTTATAGTGGGACTTCCTAAGGCTTACTTTCTTCATCTGTGAAAATGCACATAAATACAGCACTTCATTTTAAGTGCTTTACTTACTGTATGGCACATAGTAAGCTTCTGTGAAATGTTAATTATTGTAATTATCATTATTGTATTATTTAGGGGTCATGCAGAAAGAGGAACTGAAAAGGAGTCTCTAAAAAAGTCCTTAAGAATTAAGAGAGTCAGAAAAAAATAAAGGACAAAGTTTTAATGAAAGAGAGGCCAGTGTTATTGTTACGAAAGACATGAGGAGACACTTCGAAGAGGAAGAAATGCGTATGACCAATACACACACACACACAAAGATTTCCAATTTCAGGCAGGATTCAAAACATAAAATACCATTTTTACCCTATTGTTTTAGTGGTAATGACAAATACAGGTAGTAAAACCCAGCTATGTAAAAGGTATGGGGAGCTCAGCCCTCTCAATACTCTATTTATATGAGACTGTATGTTGATTGCACCTTTTTGGTGGATATGTTGGGAAAAGTTAATAGAATGTTTAGATGCATGGAACTTTTGACTCTGAAAGACCACTTCTAAGATCTGTCTTTTGAAATCCTTGCACAAAATATGTATTTATAAATATGTGTATATAAATATACACATATACATACATAAATATGTCTTTCTTTTAGATTTGTGGGAAAAATTCAAATGTCTACCAGTAGAAATACTAGCACGTTTATTGCTGTACAATATGGTCATTCAAAGGCATGATGTAGAGCTTTAAGTGTCATGGAAGAATATTCCCATATATATTGTTAGGGCTAAAAACATGAAAAGTACACATTAGTGAGCAATATATGTAGCATAACTCATAAGTATATGTAAATATGTAGTTAGTGAAAAGAATAGTACTTATCTCTAGGACACAGGATTATGGAGGACTTTCAAATTCTATGTTATGTATTTCTGTGTCATTTTACTTTTATTTTTACAATAAATGTTATTTGTGACGATAAAAAAGATATATTTTAAGAGTATGGTATATGTGTCAAATATTAAGAGAGTGCCATGTAGTGGTAAGGAACGGACTAGTGCCAGATGGCCTGGGTTATAAGCCCAGCTCTGTCTTTTTTTTTTTTTTTTTGAGACAGAGTCTTGCTCTGTCGCCCAGGCTGGAGTGCAGTGGCACAATCTTGGCTTACTGCAAGCTCCACCTCCCGGGTTCACGCCATTCTCCTGCCTCAGTCTCCCAGGTAGCTAGGACTATAGGTGCCCACCACCACACCCGGCTAATTTTTCTGTATTTTTAGTAGAGACGGGGTTTCACTGTGTTAGCCAGGATGGTCTCGATCTCCTGACTTCATGATCTGCCTGCCTCTGCCTCCCAAAGTGCTGGGATTACAGGCGTGAGCCACCGCACCTGGCCCCAGCTCTGTCTTTAGCTGTGAGATCTTGGACAAATCGCTCAGTTTTCTTCTCAGTTTCCTCATCCATAAAATGGGGATGATAATAATATAATATCTACTTCATAGGGTTGTTATTAATAAATAAGTAAATAAGTTAATAAATAAGTAAAACTGCAAAGAAAGATGCCTGGCACATAGTATGTGCTAATTATAGATGATGAGCGTGTTAATGATGATGATTGCAGATGGAAAGAGGATGACTAATAAGAAGCATTATATTGGCAAACAGAATATCATCACTGACATTGCTGATATTAGCATGAGCTGTATTGGTAGAGAAGACCTTTGAGATTACTGTTTGTCCAGTACCTGATTAAATACCTCCTATAATCAGGAATTTACTCATTATCTCTCAAGATGGCCCCTTCCTTCCATTATTGGACAGTTCTGATTGTTAGAAGAATGTAGTAGTTAAGGTCATAGACTACATTTAAAGTTAGACATATCTGTGCTTGAATCCAGGCTCTACTACTATGTACCATTAGGTAAGGTATCTTAAACCTCACTTTTCTCTAATGAGGATTAGAATAGTATCTATAATATGGAAACATAATAAAGGGTAAATGAGATCATTCACATAAAGCACTTAGCACAGTATCTGGTATACAGTAAGTGCTCAATAAATATCAGCTATTTTAACAACTCTACCTAGTCATCAAACTTACTGGATGTATGAAAGCATGAAGTTACCAACTTTACCTTTCTCTCTGTTAGATGTCTCCGAAACAGCTGCATACCGAAAAGTTATTTTGATATACCTTTCCATGGGTATAAAGCTGTAGAAGCCAACAGAAGGAGCAGGGAGAACCATCCTTTTCTTCTCATAAGAGGGGAGCAAAGGAAGGTGCCTCAATGCCTATTAACCTATTAGTGACATACAGTCCTCTTGGTCTTGTGAACAAAATGGAACAGCCTCTTCTGGGCTAAGGGGCTAGAGAAGGGAAATAGGGTGGAAATGGGGATTTGGGAGTTGATTGTCTCCAGAGAGAAGTGAACAAGGAAAAAGAAAGGAGGTCATATGCTTCAGTACATTTTGTATCAGCCAGACCCAGTCTTAGGCAAGACCTTAGTGATGAAATGTATGTTCCATAAGCTGGGTTGTTTCCAGGCTGCTGCATTCATCTTCTTTTCCTATTATTTGTTAGTAAACATTCCAACACTCCATCTACAAAATTAAGGAGAAAATATCTGGCCAAACCTTGGTATGACTGAGTGAGGAGCACAATCTGCTCCAGCAGAGCCAGGCAGCCAAACGAGGGGCAGCAGCTTTTCCAAATCAGGATTCTGGTACTAGCTGGAGGCACTGGGGCAGGTAGAGAAGTGAAAACTCAGAAGCCTTTAGTTCGCTGCTTGAGGGTCTCTTTCATGGGGAACAAGGGCTGCTAAGCCACAGTGAGCCAGCTCAGTGTACCTTGTCTTTAGCAGAGCAGTGGGGAGCTCTGCAGTCTCCAGGTACTCTGCCATGCCCACAGAAATGGTCTGACAGGTGGGGACAGCATGGAATAGGGCAGGCAGAGCAAATACATTTCATCTCATGGGCCCATTCTGTTAATGGCTTCCTGGAGTGATGCTTCAGGTTCCAGAGCAAAAGGCTGGGTTTGGTGGAGCTTGATTTATTAGTGTCTTCCACCTTGGGCTATGGGTGGGGGAATAGCGGACTTCTACCACATATTTGCTGTTCAGATATAGAGAAAAGAGCACTGTGCTCTGAGTCTAGGCACCTCGTGTGTGAATCCCAAAAACCATGAGACCTTAAGCCACTTAAACATTGAGTCTCAATTTCTTCATCTGCATTCATTCCTTTAACAAACATTTGTTGAGCACCTACTAAGTGCCAGGTGCAGTTAGAGCTGCAGGTGGTAATAAAGATAAATAAAACATGGTCATTAATCTTAAGGGGACAACATTCTAGTGTAAGAGAAAACATGAAGAAATAATGAAAACATGAAGTTTAAGTTCTGGAATAGCATTCTCAGTGCAATGAAAAGAGAGACAATCTATGAGAATCGGAAAAGACTTCATAGAGAGGGTGACATTTGAGCCATTTCTTAAAGGAGAAGTAGCAGTTCATCCAGATGGAGAACAGAAGCCATTCCTGGAAGAAGGAACTCTACATACAAAGGCACAGAAGCATGACAGAGGGCAGGGTATGGAGGAATGGTAAGTAGTTTACAGCTGTTGTACAGGGCAGCATGTCCTGAAGGGGGCTGCAAGAAATGCTGATTCCAAGGGATGTGCATCAGTTCTCTGCGGGAGGGAGAAAGGCTCTGTGGCAGAAAGACAAAAATCAATTAAGGAAAAAAAAACCAGGTTTAAACAAAGTGACACAGGTTACTTTTCTGAAGGGCTTCTCAGGACTTTTAATATACAAAACCTTTGGCTGGGTTCTATAGCTCATGCCTGTAATCCTAGCACTTTCGGAGGCTGAGGCAGGTGGATTGTCTGAGCTCAGGAGTTCAAGACCAGCCTGGGAAACACAGTGAAACCCCCAATTAGCCAGGCGAGGCAGCATGCGCCTGTAGTCCCAGTTACTCACGAGGCTGAGGCAGGAGAATCGCTTGAACCTGGGAGGCAGAGGTTGCAGTGAGCCAAGATCATGCTGCTGCTCTCCAGCCTGGGTGATAGAGCAAGACTCTGTATCCTAAGAAAAAAATTTTAAAAATTAAAAAAAATTATATATATATATATATATAACCTTCCCTATTGGCATGTTGGGAACAAACCAGGTTTTTAAAATTTTTATTTTTATATTTTCAATTTGTAGAGACGAGGTCTCACTATGTTGCTGAGGCTAGCCTCAAATTCCTAGGCTCAAGCGATCCTCTCGGCTCAGCCTCTCAAAGTGCTGGGATTACAGGCGTGAGCACACCACACCTGGCTGCAAATCAGTTTTTCAGAAAACATTGTATTTTACATACCTGAAGTCTTTTTGAAATGATCAGTGATTTAAATTTTGGCAAATAAAACCTTGCACTGTCTTTAGAATCGAAGTAGAGAAACTAAGATTTGGTTTTGTTGAAAGCAAAGGGTGTAGTGCATGCTCGCCCTGAGGGTATACACGAATACTTTTGCAGTTTGGTAAGGAATTTTGGCCCCATTTTAGGATATAAAGTCTTTATGAACTATGACTATCTCATCAGCTATTTAATCTGATCATAGAAATACGACTTCAGTGCATCCCTATGAATTAATCTTTTTGAGTCATGGTGGTTAAGAGCTGTAGTTCTGGAGACAGGCAAGCCTGAGTTCAAAACCCAGGACTACCACTTTCTAGCTATGGATAATCCTATAAAATGGGGATGAAGTATAGTACCTATCTCAGTGTTGCTGTGAGAATAAATGAGATAATGCATTATATGTGAAGTGCTTAGCAGAGTGCCTGGCCCCGTAACAATCATGTATTAAGTAACAGCTATTTTTATTTTTACTGAAAGCTGGTCTTTGTCTTTATTCCCTTCTACTGACACCATTGTTGCATGAAGCAAATGGAGTTAGGGGCTGAATATTTTGAAAAGCTACTACCAAGCTTATGTGGAAAACATTTTTCTGGTTAACATCTCGAAAAAGATATAGATTTATCAGGTTCTGGAAACACAGATAGTATCATAGACAAGCAGTCTGACAGTCACCTAAACTCAAAGATAATATATACACTATGGAAATCAGTTATCCTTTCAGGTTTCAGGCAAGGGGAATCCTGCCACCTTGTGGTGTGAGAGAAGTAGGCCCGAGGCCAAGTCCCACTTACTATCCCTAGCAGAGATGCAGCCCTCTCAGTTATTGCCCACCTCTGAATTTATGAGACCCCTGGGCAACTGACTTAATCTGTGCCTATTTCTTCAGCTAGTTTGGAATCTCATTATCTCCTGGTTTACTGCAAAGGAAGTTAAAGTGCCAGATCGCTTTCTATATTTTATACAGTCCAGTAATAGAGAATGAACCAGTCTTTAGTACGACTTGCATAAAAACCCCAAGTTCATAAATTTTGTATCTCATATACTACAGAACAAATATTCTTTTCAGGTAAAAAAAAAAAGGGGGCTATGAAAACCACACTTTTTTCAGGCTTGAGGTAGAAATAGGAGGTGACTAAAGAACACTTAATAGTAACTGTGTTTCTGGAGCTGTCTTTTGGATCATAATACATCAGAGTCCTGCTCAGCTCCTTCAGTAATGAGAAATCAGAGGACAGACATCTCAACGGCTAGAAACAACAGAGATCTTTCACAGGCCTCGGGCTCTAAGTCTCTGTGTTCGTGAGAAGAAACCACTTGAAAATCATGAACTATATAAAAGGCCCTAAATTAGGTAAGTTTTCCACCTGGGATTTAAACAATCCAGGTAGCTCAACTATCCTTGGTTTGCCGAGAGCTCCCTGCTCTTTAGGAAGAAAACTCGAGACTCTCTTCAGATTTTAGAGGCCTATTAGAAGAGACAGCATTTGGAGAGTATAGTCATGTGGTGGAAAATGGTGACACAGTTGCCTCAGGCTAAGTTCAGCCTTTAGCTGAGGTAAGGTAATGAGACGTGCTGCTGGGGGAGGCAGTTGCCAGTTAGAAGGCAAGAACCAAGAAAAACGCTCATATGATTTTCTCCTTTCCTCTAGGTCTTCTGTTACCAAATTGAAAACCTTTATACACAACAGCCAAC